CCCCACCCGGCTATCATTTACCTTCTTTACTGCACACAGCTGCTTTCAAAACTTAAACTCAAGCTTCAGAGAAGGACGTGAACAGTTCTCCTCCTGCCCCCGGGATGGGGAGATCTTAAGAGGAGACCTTGGAGACTGTGGAGTCCTGATAAGCTGGGTGGCTAGGCTAAGCACAACAGACCTGCGGGTGTGTGCCCTCCCCTGGGCTTGGTCCATTAACCCGAGCTGCTTTCTGGCTCCTTCATGCATACGGGACATGGAGTTCCAGATCCACGCACTGCCACACTCCAAAGATCAAGCCAACTCTAAAACATCCCAACTTTGTGGAACCACCTGATGGTGTAGATGTCTTTGTAGATGCAAATGCATTTTGAGCAAACGATCAGCTACCTTGCTCAGATTTGTTAACTAGGTACATTATTGTCAAGAATGCTAATTTTATCACTTCCTCCAAATGGACGATAGACAATCCATTGCATGCCAGGAAATTTTCATTTTCAATGTGATCCTGCTGAATGAAAGTCTTGAAAGTGACAGGTCTCTTGGTCCTGTTTTACTCGCAGGGCCAGTACAACGTGTAAACACAAATTTCTACACTTTTGTTTTAGTCAGGAATAAGCCCTGGGCCTCACCATGCTAGCTAGCCAAGTGTTCCGCCCTACTCTAGCGAAAAGAGTCACTTGCAGGCTAACTATAGCCTGTCTTCACTGTTTGCTCTGGTAACTCTGGCTCAGCATTGTCTGCAGCCAGGACCCACGTGACCGCTCTCTAAGCCCAGGGCTAAAGCATGCCTCTCATCAAAACGGAGATCCAGAGGAGATGAAGGCCAGGGCTTGGGGAGCAGGTTTAGTGCTTTAGCACTTGCAAAATCATCCAGATGACGCTGTCCTTGTGCCATCTGGGTCATCTGCACCCTGTCATCACTTCAAGAATGTCCTGCAGGCTGGGATGGCGGTGCGCTCTTTCGATCCACGCTGCCAACGGTCTTCAGAGCACTTGCGTGACTGCTCTCCTCCACAGGTATGCTCACAGGCTTCCAAGTAACATTTTCTTATCTTCAGTGAGCTCATTCAGCCCACAACTCACTGATAGCCCAGAATACAATAGCTCATAAGTATGAGAGGATTTCTTTCTAACTTACAAAGGGCAAAGGTGACAATTTATCTTAGCTGGATAAACAGTAATAGCTACCATTTGATGAACATCATTAGGCTGCAGTCATAGGACGGGGCCTCTTACCTGCATGACCTCAGGTCTTACCATAGCCACTAAGTTGATCTTACCAGTAAGCCAACAGAGGCGCCAAGAATTCAGTAACCTGCTTCAGGCCACTCAGTCGGTAAGTGCAAGGACAGAGATTTGAACCCAGACCAAGTTGTGAGCCACATCACTGTATTTAGTCTGAACTGGAAACTGCTCACATTCAGCGACCCAGGGTCAGCATTGCTTCCCACAGCACCACTCCTGCAGCATCAGCACCATTATCCCAGCATCCTTTGTAATTCTCTTCTGTGCTCATTCTACCCATTGCTTCTCACAGTACTTGTCTGAGCTGAGCTCACACTATTTCCAGTTCCGAGAAAAGGAATGTATTGTCCTGTTTCCAAAGCTACACGTGACACTTCGGCATCATTCGCAGTTTGAGCTAATACCAAATGCCTACAGCCCTGATTTTGTCACTCAGAATTGCCCAGGGGCCACAAATGAGATGACTTACTTCCCCATGTCTTAACATTGTGAAGGTAACAAATCTTGCTCCCTTCACTAGCCTCCCATCTTCACTCTTTGGAAAAACAGACAAACCTTTTCACCTCTCATCTGTGATTGCCTGCAAGGGGGAGAAAGCAGTTTGGGGTTTGCTGGGCCTGTGTGACATGGACTA